CATTCATGATTCTTTTCAACTAACCACAGAGGACCAAACTATATTTATCACACCTCTAATTAGCATTTCTGTTTGGATGCTGTAATGTGATCTGAGGCCGCAGGAGGTGGTACGAAAAGAACAAAAGAGCAGAGAGTTGCCAGTTCAAATTCTTGCACCTGTAGATGGGGAACGTTGCATCAGTGTACTCTTCTGCTTCAGTACTTACTCCTGATTTCTCCTTGAGCATTGCATTAAAAGCGAACATATACGATTTTCAGACAGCTGACATTTTTAAACCAAGCTATCTCAGTGCATATACATGGTAAAAATGTGACAAGCTATTTTAATATGTGTGACAAACACCAGCTCAGGGGGTTGTTTTCAGTGTCTCAGCTAACAAAGAAAACAGACTTTGGAATCAGGTCACACAGGAGCACTACCACACACATACTGTAGATGTTAGCATACAGAAAGTCACAAGCAGGCATCGATACATCTGCACACAAAGCTGTCCTGTCTGACTAAATAAAGACACATATTCCCTGTGGATTTAGGGAGAAAAAAAATCTTCCCAGTCCCAGCCCCACACACAGACACACACCTGGTGCAGGGACTGTGGCAGCAGTGTGTAGTCACTGTTTTCTCTGAGGGACTGCAGAGAGGCCAACAACTCTGAGCTGGGGCTCAACGGTCCATCTCTAGAGGCCATTCCTAGGAAACAACAAAAAGAAATGCTAGAGTGAAATATACATGTACCTAATGGTTCAGATGTTTCACTTATACTCTGTTAGCCTCTAATATCCTCTATGTACACTCTGTACATAGAGTGTATGTATCCAAACAGTTGAGGTTCAGTAATAAAAATGTAAACTCACTGGTATGAAAATACATACTGTATATTATAGTACTTAAAATACAGTGTATTAGTTTACTAGTAACATCTAAGGCTCCTGCCATTGTCCAGTATTGTGCTTTTTTTTGTCTACAGCATAGTGTAAATTATTTGTCCTGTATTCTCCTTTGAGAAAAAAATCAGAAACCAAGTTTGAAAGATATGGGCTTTTCAATGGACTGATACCACTTTCATGTCTGAATGCTACATATGAAGCCATAGCAGCCAGTCTAGCTTAGTGTAAAGACTGGATACACTGGGACGCAGCTACTGTGCTTGACAAAAGGTCAGGAAGTGATGGCGCCAGGCCAAGAAATAGCACAACACATGACCCCCTGTAAAACTGAAATGTGAAAGTAGATTGTTTCCCCATTTTCTCATTACGCTAAGCTCTAAAATTAGCAACTTAATAACTTCAAAGGGCTGTTTGCAAAAACCACATAGAAAGGCCCCAGAGGTTAGAACCCAGAACCTTCTGGTTGTCCACCATGCAGCCCCTGGTTTTTGGGATGAAAAGTAGAATTAGACTGAAATGCTACAAGGACTCTTTCATCCCAGCCTGTATCAGGACTCTAAATAAGGTGCAATATGTAAGGCTAATGGTTTTCGGCTCTTTGTGCAATGCCTAAATGCTGGGTATGAAGCAATTCTGAGGTTTGAAGCAGGAGCCACTGGAGTTGTTAGTCTTCGTGGAAAAATAAAGCTCACTTCCTTTCCCTGCCTCCCTCTCTACATCCTCCTCCTCCCTGTGTAATTATTCTGCTTGTGTTGTTATTTTCTAATAGATGACTGGGTGTTTTTTAAAAATGTTCATAAAGTTTTATGCTTTTTTAAACACAAGGCTAGGTACCGCAGTTATCATACAGCCAAAATGTGTGTGTCAGTCAAAGATGTGTTGGGTACTAAAATCGACTGACAAACAGGTTATTATCTCAGCAGGCTGCCATGCACTGACAGCACCTCACCTGCAGCCATTACTGTGACAGTCACTATCTCAGCTCCAGCTGTATAATACATTATAACTATCTAAGTGTATTGGCTGTGGTTCCCATTCTTATCATTTTAAACTCAGCTGTTTCCAGTGCTGAATAACAGTTTGAATGATATTGACATATTTACTGTTGAACAATGTGTTTTATCAGTTTACTGTCTCTACTGTCATAACAGATTAATAAAGTCAGTCTAAGGCCTTTTAAAGATGTTTTCTCTGTGTGTGACATTTTATTGAATGAGCTATACATGGTCTTTACCATCCAGGTTAGCTGATATTGCAAAAAGCTAAATTCCTTTAAATGCACAGCAGTTGTATATTAGATTAAAAATATAATAGAGCTAAATATTTTACCTGTGACACTATCGATGAACACCCCATCCTCTTTCTGTGTAGGTCCAGTGTCAGGACCTTTCAGTGGGCTGGTGTTCTTGTTACCCATGATGTCTGTTGCCTCTGTAATCTTCACGTCCAAATGAATGATCCCCAAAAGCTTTTCTGAGACCCTCCAGTGGCCCGTGGCTGGGTCTCGATTTGAGCCCTCATTGAAAAAACATAAAATGTTTCTGACCTTTATCAGAGTACCGCTTTGTGTGAGATAAGCTAATTACTTGAGAATGTCTCTAAGATCCCGGTAGGGGTTCAAGGAGAAAAAGAGGCCTGGAAAAGGTTTCAATAGGTGTGGTTTGCATTCACCCTTGACAGAGCATGTGATTTAATCCTCCACTGCCTCTCCTGGGTGGCCAAGAATAGAGAGATCTGAAATGTCCACCATAGTCTACAAAGGGCGGGCTGCAGAGAATGTAGTTCCCAGTTCTTGCTGACTTTCTGCACTCCTTCATGTGATTTGTTTTGCTTTTTTCTTCTTTCTTTACAAGGAAGCTGTGAAAAAAGGCATGTTTTAAAAACAGAAAAATTGTATGCTTCATGCATGCAGATTGCTCTGAGCAGGAAAGGACCCACAAACAGCGAAAGAAAGAAAAGGAATGAATACAAGGAGAAGCAGCAGTTTTAGTAAAAGTGGTAATTATGTCAGTGAATGAAAGGTGTGTCTAAACCACAACTGTCCATTGAGGCATGGCAGAGCGCTCAATTGTGAACAACTCACAGCTTGAAAATAACTGCATAATACACTGTGTCATATAAAATAATTAACAATAATAATGCACAAACAGGCAGAACTTTGGCAAATCTACAGACGGGTAACAAATGAAAGGAAAACCCAACATAAAGTGTCTCAAGGTGCTGGGCCACCACATGCCACCAAAACAGCTTCAGTTCACCTTGGCATTGACTCTCCAAGTCTCTAAACTCTACTGGAGGATGAACACCTTTCTGCCAAAACATATCCCCTCATTTGGTGTTTTGATGATGATGGTAGCGACGCTGTCTAACACACTGGTCCAAAATCTCCCATAGATGTTCAACTGGGCTAAGCTCTGGTGACTGTGAAGGCCACAGCATATGATTCACATCACTTTCAAATTCATCAAATCATTCAGTGACCCCTCATGTCCAACTTTTTTCCCCAAGTCCCATCAGGAGTTCTTGTACAAAATATTGCAGTGTTTTTAAATGTAAAAAGTGGAATACGCTGTAACTTAAAGTCTAGGTTGCAAGGAGAGTAATGTGCACATATTCAAATTCACCAGAGATTTGTGAATGTGACGTGTGTTAATTATGTGATGATTCTTCTGCAAAGATATTTCCCCCTTTGACAAACGGTACCTTGTAACAAACCATATTCAGTCTACAGCCAGGCTAGCAGCTGTCCTTAGGTACTGTACTCAGTGCTTTGAGCTAAATGCTAACCTCTGTATGCAAATAAGCTCAAAATGGCAACGCCAACATGCTGATCTTTAAGAAGAAGCTTTGATTTGCAGCATTTTCAACTGTTTTCTGACTTTTTTGATAAAGGACAAATAAATTGAATAAATAAACCCATAAATAAAAACAACTGCAAGATTAATTTATAGTTCAAATAATTTCAAATAGCGAACAAAATATTTAAAATACAGGAAAGGATTTAGTGTTATGGCTTTGGGTTTTCCTGTAGTTGTTCACAAAAGGCTGACATTATGTGGATTGGCCTTTCAATGTCACTGTAATTGATAGATAGATAGCTAGATAATCCTTTATTGTCATTCTAACACGTACAACGACATTTTAGAGTGACCTCCAGTCGGTACAGCAATAGAAAGAAAACATAACATATGAAATAAGGCTATATAAAAAAACGTACTATTTACTGACTAATTACTAAGAGATACCAAACACTGTGTTGTCAAGGCTTTGTGTTTTTTTCTTTTGTTTTCATGTACTTTTACATAAGGTCCAATTTAGTTGTTCTTTGGCTTTAGAGATTGAGGGACTCCCTGTTTTTACACTACAAAGCCTGTTTTAGTCTCCCTAGTAAATGGATCACAAACTGATGCAATTTTATACACAAGCTCCTCTATAAAACCGTGCTAGGTGTGCCTTCTCTCCATTGGTAGAGACAGGCTGTGGCTTTTTCTTCTGCAGATAAAAATATTTCTGGCTCATGAAACCTACATTTCCAGCTTGAGTGAGCTGAAGGCACAGAAAGCTTTGTGATACTGTGCGTTTACATCATGTTAGCAGGAAACATGGAATGTGACACAAAGTACAAATGCTGGGAGCACAGACTGACTCATAAGGATCTGTAGCATTAACTTAATGATGGGGGGGGAGAATAAAGGTGGAGAGTAAGGTTTTGCTTTAGCACTGTGAGGTTTCCACTTCTCCTCTGAATTGCTACACGCTATTGAACTTGATTGTTTTTTCAGTAAAGTCTTTACTATCTTTTACCTTTTTCCTAAACCAATAGCTTACTTAAATAGTAATAGTGTCCATTTTGTTTTTGTTGTTGTTTATAGGCCTAGCTACTACAAATTACATAGACTGCTGTGTTTAACGTTACAGCTGCATGGTTTCCAGTGTTAAATTAAATGTCATTTTTCCTAGTATTTTGTCAGACAGTTTGCATGGACCTAATACATTGACATTTGACTGAACTATAGTGCTGCAGGGATGACCTTATCGAGTTAGTGATCATGACTGTGTCACTTAGAATAGTTTGCAAGTGCACAAGATTAAAAATAACAAGGCTTAAAGGTCGGCTAGTGAGTAGATGAGTCTCCATGATGATGGTTAATATCCCACACAACCTAGTCTCAGTTAGGAACCACTTTTTTGTACAGACTAAAGCTAAAGTATGTAACTTTTTTCAAATATTTTAGTTCTAGAAATATGGTCCAAAACCCAGACTCACTCAACAACACTGTCAGCAGTGCAGGGATTTGAAAAGGTTTTGGCCTTTCTAACCAATCAGAGATTTTCAGTTATTTTTGCTTCTTCTGCAAGTTTTGTTGCATTCTCATTTCAGTTTCATAATGACAAATATCTGAGGAGCTGGGCAGAGTATGGCGGAGCGTAGCAGATCATAGTAGAGCATAGTGGAGCAGGGAGAGGGAGAGCTGGGTGGAGCAGAGTGGATTGATTTGGAGGTTCATGCTAGTGCCGCCTTAAGTTACATACTGTAGCTTTAAACAAATAAGATACAACATAATGATTAGTCATTTTTAAGTATGAGAATAGGCAGATTTTGCTACCTTAGGACAGACAAGCCAAACTAGGTGTTTCCTGTTTCCAGTGTTTATGCTAAGCTAAGATAACCATCAGCTGGCCGTATCTTCATAGACCTATATAGTGCACTGATCTTCAGCATTGTGATTGCCAAAAATGTTTAACTACCTTTTAATATTTTCTTGTGCTAATACAGTATGTTGCACTGGCATAATGGTTTGCTTTTGCCATTTGGTTATAAAATTGGCTCAGTATGGAGTAGGATAACTGGACTCCATATTTCTTTAAAGTGGGGTTGCAGCAATGCATCACAAACACCTTCACAAAGTAATGTGCTGCCAGCACAAAACAATAACATGACCTGTAAATGTCTTAATTATTCCTGACAAAACGATATATCTCCCATGAGCTAAGGCGATAACATCACTGTGTTTTTGCTCACATCATTAACTTGTAGTCCCATTAGGCGATTTAAAATGTGAAACTGCTGGGAAAAACATTTCTTCCTCTGTTCACCTTCTAGTGGTTTTAATACATTTCTTGTCAGGTTTATGTGGCGTAGGTGGGCAGCCGAATGTGCATGCGTGCGTGCGCGCGCGCGTTAAGTGAACAAGTGCATTGAGGGGCGCGCGCTACGACACCTCGCGCTCAGCTGAACGTTTTTCCATCTTCCATCGTTTATCCGAGTCTTTTTGAGCAAACTCGTCAGACAACGGAAAGGTGTTGAGCCACAGCATCCCCGTGACAGCGTGTCTGAAGTAGGCTGTGGAGTTTATTGCGTTTATTCCTTATTCCGTTTACACTGCTGTTACACTCGGTAGCCTGCTTCCTATTTCTCCTGTGACATCCCTCTTAAACCACTTCTAGGGCTAGGCTATTTTAGTTCAGTGTAGTAAGGAATACAAGCACAATGCTACAAAATAAACGGAATTCACAACACAGGACACAGGATGGGGAGATGCACTCACTACTGGGTGATGTCTCGCAGTTTCCCGTCTGGACATCAACGCCCTGAAGCAGTGTCCGCGGTGTTTTCCCCTCTCCCTGTCGGCCTACAGCAGGATCCCCAGGAACCTCTGTCTGCTTCTCAGCCTCTCTCGTGCTTCTTATTTACGGTTCAATCCGGGGATTTTTATCAGCTTCTCCTCATTGCAAGATATATATCCCTGCCTGTCATGTTTATTTATTTATCTAAGTTCGTAGCCGAGGCTGCCATCTTCTGGCAGATGTGTCACACTGGCTCCCGGATGTGTGTCAGCGGTTATGTAACAGCAGATGAAGCGGTCACATGACGGGTTGTTAAAATCATAATCCGTGCACTGGATTACAAGGGCAATAAGAAAATGTACATCATGTTTGCACTGTATTACTGCAGCTATTACATAACCCGAAAAGAAAACAGCGTTTGCTTTATTAGCTTATCAGACTGAGGCGGTACAGATCAGACAATCATTTTGTGGTGTGCTCTCAATCTTTGCTGTAACAGATATAAAGGAGACTAATCATTTAGGCCTCATCGTTTTAATAAAAACAAATGTATAGGTTATATTCACAACACAAGGGAGAGTTTACTGTGATTTGTTTTAACACCAAAAACTAATGTTTTAACCATCTATGAAATGTAAAGGCTCTGAATTACCTGATGACATGCCCTTTTTTTCTTTACTTTTTATGATTGAGATTAAAAACTCTTAAAACCAGAACTGGCACAGCCTTTTATTTTCCTACAGTTTCCCTTAATGTACAGCAGAATAGATTTACTTATGTAAACTACAATGATGTAAACATCACTTCTCCATCCTGAAACAGCATTAGACTAAGGTAAGATGGATGTTTTTCAGAAACTTGACTACCTCCAAACAGGGTGAAATTACTTTTCTTATATTTTACGTATTAAGCCCTATTCAGATGTAAACGACCTGTGAATGTGTGTGGGTTTGTATTTCTGTCCCTTTTCTCTGTTTTCTAAATGTGAACACACAGAAGCTGAATAGAAGACTGTGGTTTTCACTTGTGTGCCGCTTCTTATTTTGTGGACCTTCAAATGAGGCTAAACAATGAGGAAGTGGAGCAGAAAGAGAGGAAGAGCAATGTCAAGGAAGGAAGTGTGTGTGTGTTTCTTCCCAGGTTTTTTCTCACTCATAAGGAGTGTGACTTTATAAATGTCCAGCTTGAGGGCTGAGCTATGCCTGCATGAAAATGCATGCTGTTGTTGTTTTGCTGCATCATAACAGAAGCATTTTCACCCTCTTGGTACACACACAACTGAGTACACAAACATACATGTACAAAAATGAAATGCACACTCTTGACCACCATGTGCAGACCATAGCCTGTATATTTGGTGCAGACACACAAATGCGATGGAAGCATGAGGAGGAACAGCATAATGACTTTAATGTTTGCACATCAAAGTCACATAAACTAACAGGGAGCTGTGGTCATTTATTAACAGTGACATACAACATGCTGATTAATAGGATTCACAAAACAAACATCCAGTGTCTGGCTTGTTTGTTTGAATTAATCAGTGTGAGTGTGTGTGTTTGTGTTCCATGTATGTATAGATGCATTGATCCAGGGAGAAAACCTACCAATGTCCAGTGATTACTATGCATCACTGAATCCCCTCTGATTGGCTCAATGACTTCAGAGTCATGAGGCTCTTCAGACACAACGATATTATTTCTTTAATGTAATTACTCCTCCATCACACTAAAAGTTTAATCCACATTTTTCATTCTGACCAGAATCAATTAGTATTGTGTTTTAGCAGCCAGTGTATTGATCACTAACCACCCATCCTCTGAAGACAGGAAAACAGTGGTGTTGGTGTTGGCAGTAACTTTGAGGAACTTAAGCCTTGTCCTTCAGTCCTCCTCATCTTTTCAGACAGATCAGTCTTACTGAAACTGCTCTGAGTCCTCCTACATCTTCACTTCAACCCAGGATCCTCGTAAGGATGGAACCACTTTTACATTAGTTTCAAAAGCTTTGAAATACACAGTTTTCTCTTGATCATTGTATTCAGCACCAAAACCTGTACACAAAATGGCTTCAGGTGTAGCATGGTATTCCCTTTTGAATGCTCAGTAGAAAAATAACTGAAAAAAACAAACACATTTTCCTGCAAAACAGACATCTGAAATGAAAGAAATGGCACACTTGATTGTGTATGTTGACTTATCAGAATGGTTTTTGATGACTGTAGTTACCAAAGGTTGTCTTAAATCAGTAGACATTTCAACATAAGAAACTAAAAGAACACAGTTGAATGTTTGCAGTGAATTGTATTCTAAAAAAACACAGTGTCTGCTTTTGTCAGTGAGTGACAGTGTATAGACATTTTTAAACAGTACAATGAGGTCATTAACAACTTTACAAAAGTGCTTAATTTTGGGCCCTTAAAGCCTGGAGTAGACTTGCACAGATACTGTATGTATAAGAATCTATAATAGTTCAATCCAATATCAAGCATATTGTCTGTACAGTATTAAACCCAAAGGAAGACTTTGTACGGAATGAAGATCAAAGACCAAGAACAGTCTTTTGGTTTGTCACCTTGTAGCAATTTTGATTTTTTCAGTACTCACTAGATTATTTACAGTACAAGGATGGGGCAATTACATTTGTCCTTCAGCCACATTGAAAATGTTTTAGCATTAGATGCTGCACTGAGTTGAAATGATTGCTTTAAATATACTGTAGGATACTAAAAACAAGTTGCTTTTAAGGTTATTTAAAGGACACACACAGAACTTGTATGTTTGTAGTGAGATTCATGTCCGGTAACAGACAAGATCCAATTTTAAGGCTCTGAATTTTTTTAACTGTCTGATGTGCAACAAAGTCCAGAAAATGTCCAAAAGTGCAAGAATGGTTACAAATTGGATTATACAAGTATCAGGCGTCAAATTCCTGTCACGTGTAGGACTGTGGCTCAGACTCTGACCTTGCTGTGAAGGTTGGTAAGGGTGTAAAACCTGCAGGTGGAACCAGACATGTTGTCTCCAGTCTGTAGTACTTGGATTGTAGTAGTTGAGAAAATAAAGTGTGGATAAAGTGAAAGTAGAGTGTGTGGGAGAAGAATTTAACAGTTAACTAGGTGTACTTAATGAAACATAACAGCCTGAGGAGAAGCAATCTAAACATCCCCATCTAAATATGTTTCAATTCTCACTATCATTCTACGCTGATTCCCTTGAGGGCTCTCGGCTCCAGCGCTTTTCGCCGCCTCTTATGTTGTCCCCTGGTGGGAACCATCATGATGCTGGCCTTGCAGATGTTGACCCTATTTCCTGGGCGAGCCGTCATCACCTCAAGGGCCCCCAGATGCTCCAGGAAGTCTACCTCGAACGTCTGCCACAGGTCAACTGGAGAGGCACAGTGACTTGAAAAGGGCTGTACATGCAAGAAACCCCTCAAACATCTCACAGCTGAAACAATTCTGCATTGAGGAGTGGGATAAAATTCCCTCAGACCGATGTCAGAGACTATTAGATGGCTACAAGAACCGTCTCACTGCAGTTATTTCAGCCAAAGGAGGTAACACTAGCTATTAGGGGCTAGGGTGTGCTAACTTTTTCCTCAGTTGGAATAGGCATTTTTGTAGAATTACATTTACAGAAGATCTTGAAAAGACTTTTCTTCAGTTTTACTTGTTTAGTTGTATTACTTTAATCTCTCTGTATTGTTAAAATTGAGATTAAATAACCATATATTAAAACATGTTACAAAATACACATGCTTTCAAAGGGTGTGCTAATTTTTTCACATGACTGTATGCTAACCATAGCTGAAACTAGCTATAAAGTATCACAGTGTGACAGGGTCATTGATTAATACTAGTAACAAATATTGTACAAGATTCTGAGACTGATTTCAAAACTCAACATGTATGATGTTTTGGCACAAAGCCACCTAAATTATTAGTATTTGAAGACTTGTTTTGCCCACATGGTGATTTGAACTGACCATTTCTCTTTCATGCATAACAGCAACATGTGCTTTGTATACGGAGTAAAAATGTAATGTGCTACAACAGGAAATCACAAGTAGTGCTAATGATGGTCCCAGTAATAGTGCTGCCCCCTGTGGAAATGCGGTCATGAAACAAGCTCATTATTTGTTTATTCATTGAAGGTAGAGCCTAAACAATTAAATAATTAATGTATTTGTTGATTGACAAAAAATTCACCTGCAACTATTTTGAAAATCTGTTACTCGTTTCAGCCATTTTACATGCAAAAATGTCAACCACAGTCTGGATCGTTTCTCAGTAGTGTAGAGATTTTTTACATTGTTTCTGAACTAAATATTTCTGATAGCCTCTGTTTACTCTAAAATTTATAAAGAATATAGTAAGTCAATATTGAATTACTGTAATTTTTTAAAGGGCAAAAATATTATTTTACATGCAAACTTCTTCAGAGACAGAGTAAACTGACTGACATTCTTGGTTCCACTTGGCGAGCTCCAGCTTGGAGTTGTGTTTGGCCTGCTCCAGCTCTCTCCTCAAGTTGTTGTATTTGGTTCAGGCCTCCGAGATCTTCTGCTGATGGTGCTCCAAAAACATGAGCTTGGCGCTGAAGCATGTAAGCCCCTGAAAACACAAATACTTACATTTCACTACTTTTATTTATATTCACATAATACTTATGGAACACCCCAAAATAAAGTGCACTTTGTTGTTGTTTCTGTAACCTGATGCCATCTGCTCCAAACTACAGACATTACCCAGCTTGATAAATTTAAACACAGGCCTTCTGAATTGTTTGGTGATGCAGGATTTGTGCAAAATGTATATTTTGAAGGGCAGCATGGTGGTCCAGTGGTTAGCACTATCAGTTCACAACAAGAGGGTCCTAGGTTTGAACCTGGTGGCCAACCTTACTATGCGGAGTTTGCACATTCTCCTCATGTCTGTGTGTTTTTCCTCCCACAGTTCAAAGACATGCAGGTTAAATTGCCTATAGATGTGAGTGGATCTCTGTTTTAAGTGTCAGCAATGTGACCAACTGGTAACATGTTTGGGGTGTACCCCGCCTCTTGCCCAGTATCAGCTGGGATTGGCTCCAGCTCTCCCATGACCGTCTACAGGATAAATGGTATAGCTGATGGATGAATAGTAGTTTAAAATACAGTGGGTACAGAAAGTATTCAGACCCCCTTAAATTTTTCACTCTTTGTTATCTTTCAGCCATATGACTGGGCCGAAGGTTCACCTTCCAACAAGACAATGACCCTAAGCACACAGTTAAAATAACGAAGGAGTGGTTTCACAACAACTCCGTGACTGTTCTTGAATGGCCCAGCCAGAGCCCTGACTTAAACCCCATTGAGCATCTCTGGAGAGACCTGAAAATGGCTGTCCACCCACGTTTACCATCCAACCTGACAGAACTGGCGAGGATCTGCAAGGAGGAATGGCAGAGGATCCCCAAATGCAGGTGTGAAAAACTTGTTGCATCATTCCCAAAAAGACTCATGGCTGTATTAGCTCAAAAGGGTGCTTCTACTAAATACTGAGCAAAGGGTCTGAATACTTATGACCATGTGATATTTCAGTTTTTCTTTTTTAATAAATCTGCAAAAATGTCAAATTCTGTGTTTTTCTGTCAATATGGGGTGCTGTGTGTACATTAATGAGGAAAAAAATGAACTTAAATGATTTTAGCATATGGCTGCAATATAACAAAGAGTGAAAAATTTAAGGGGGTCTGAATACTTTCCGTACCCACTGTATGTAACTACCATGGAAAATGTTCTCCAGACTAAAGTAATCCCACCTCCAAAACTAACTAACTGTCAGGATTCACTGCACTTGCTGTCACAAGCTTTGATTTTGGTACATTTCCATTTGCCCTGTCTCAGCTCCACTTTTTCCTTTCCTGGTCTGCTCTATAGGCTAAACTGTGAACATATTTCCTGGTTCTAATGCTGTGGAACAAGGATTTATTTTCCTTGGCACATGCCAAGCAGCTAAAACATGTAAATTTATATTTTTAGACCATAAAAATAAATAATAACAATAAAAACCCTTCATAATAAGGACATCATTATATACATAATTTAAAAATGAAAGGCTATCCCATATAGCTGCATACAGTAGCAGATGTTTCAACTAAACCCAGGCAGATGTCTCTGACATCAACTTTAATGATTAGTTTGAGCACAGACAGGAGAGAGAGTGACTCATCTGCACTGTTTATGTTAACCTCAGCCTGATTTCTGCAGGCAGCTGTTAGCTAGCATTAGCTACTGGCAGGAACAGACTGAATAAAGTAGAAACCACAAGCTTTTCACTTGATTTCCACAGCCTCACATTTCGAAGGCAGAGATAATATCTGTTCAACAAAGCAAACCGAGAGCTCAGTCTGCAGAATCTTTGGCCAGTCTGTCCCTCTTGTCAGTGGAATCTAGGTCCATTACAAGATAGTCAGACTCAGTTAGTCCCTGTATATGTCACTCAACGTAGCTAATAGTGCCAACTGTCATCAATGTTACTTAAAATAACCTTTTTGTGTACATTGTAACAACTCATTTTCCACAAACAAACCACTTACAATAGGTAGCCTCTGCATAGATGTGATATTTTGCGCAGATGTCTATGAAAAGGCACAAATGCAAAGATCAATCTTGGGTCTGTAGGCTACTACTCTCAGAGTATACCAATCTTATTATTAATCAGAAGGGGCAGTTTCAAAGGTCAGTACATGCACATCTTTGAAAGGGAAACAACAGAGAACCTTCAGATACAAAGCATGGAGTGCTGTAGTATTGTATTATTTTACTGCTGTTGTTATTCAGCAATATTGTATGCCCAGTGAAAGGATTAACAAAAGATGTGTAGAAATGTGAAGATACTGTAATTTCACTATCTGCTCTAATGTGTTATTTTATTGTCAGATCTGTTATAGTTTACCTTTGATGTGCTCTATTTGTTTTACTTTCAGTGTTTGTCTTTTTTATTTGCTTCAGCATTGAGCCAATTTCCCCCCATGTGGTCATTAAAATTGCATCAAACTTGATGTGCCAGGGACTGGTGGAGGAGGGAATAGTCTCATGAGGCCAGACCTCCTGTCAGTGGGACATTATGTCACCATATGAACCCAACCGTATAGTCAAGCACATTTCAACTCTAAATGCAAGGTGAATCTTGTATTTCATCTTTATTGACGCACAGTCGCTTGACTGAGTATTCTGGTTTTCAGCAACATGCTGCATAAAACATTTTGAATCTTGCACATGAGCACCTTGTAACTGCCCAGTACAACCACAATCATTACATGTGGCCACTGCAGTAATTGTGACTTCTTAAAGGATACATATTATGCAAAATTCACTTTTAGAGCATCTTCTGATATTCACAGGGTTCTCCAGTGTGGGCAGAGATACACAAAACATGAGAAAAGAGCAGTCCCTGCTTGTTTTGCTTTTTCTGCTTTTGTAAAAACCCTTGCTTGAACATCAGTTAGGATTTGTCTGTCTTTATGATGTCATACAAAAAGACATGGCAGTTCATTTCATAGACCCTCCTCCCACTCTGATCCTGTATGGTGCTACCGGTCCTCTATTATGATTTTCTGGCTAGAACAGCAGATGAACAATAACATGGCACAGCTCAGAGAAAAGCACAGATTCTGCTTGTTTGTTGGTTGCACAAACAAGCACAAAAGTCTCTACCTACTTCCTTCCTCAGAGCCAGCGAAGACACAGTGGATATTGAATATTTGTTCCTGAAGATATCCCTAAAATGTGCTAATCATTTCATGGTGGAGTGCTTTCTCAACGTGGGTAGGTACAGCACTGGATTTAGGGTACGTTTACATGGAAACGCTCTTGACTGTAAACGCATAGTTTCGTTAAAATGATTGCTGTGTAGACGGGAAGTATTTGGGTTGACATGAAAACAGTGAAAACGAATAAAACGTTGTCTGAGTATGCACATTACCCTTGAAGACGATGGCATCATTAGCCATTATCTACTTTCCTTTCTGAGGAGTTGGCAACACTGCGCGAACACTACGAAGTTACCAACATTAGTTTGTTGGTTGCAGCAGTAGTAAAGGAGCAGTTGTACTAATGCTAATAAGTTCATTAGCATCTGTGTGTAGCATGAAAGCATATAGTTGCCATTGTTTATGTTGATGTCGCAGTCAATGTGACGCTAGCAGTAGCTGACGCGGGGCGATGGCGTTATCGTTTCGTAAACATATGCGGATGATAACGTTGACACGAAAACCTCTGTAATAATAGTGATAACAGTAAGGTCTAGACCTTACTTTGTAAAGTGTCCTGAGATGACTTTTGTTGTGATTTGGCGCTATACAAATAAAATTTGATTTGATTTTGATTTGATAAAGACTGCGAAGAAGATCACCAGGACCCCACTGCCCTCTCTGCAGACCATTTACCACCGTAGGGTGTGTAGGAAAGCTGCCTCCATCCTCAAGGACCCCACCCACCCCCAGCATGGACTGTTCATACCCCTACCCTCTGGCCAGAGGTTCAGAAGTGTGAAATGCAGGACTTCTAGACTGAAAAACTCTTTCTTTCCCTCTTTCATCAGACTCCTAAACAGCTGACTCAGGATCTACCTCATGTAATTCCATCTGTACTGTTTACTTACTCATTTTGCACATGCATAATTGCACACCCACTGCTGAGTATTTGCAGTCTACAGCTCCCACATAGCATATATTCTCTCTGCATTATATTGTGTTCTTGTTGTATTTTTATTGTGCTTCCTTCACTTGCTGCTTTAAAGTGCCTTAGATTTACGATTTTACTGCCTACGTATTTAGATTTGTGTTATTGCTCATCTACTTTATATTTCACTTTATATTTCACTTGTTTTATGTGGCATTCCCGTGGACAGCAAAGCAAGAATTTCATTGTACAGGGAAACACGTTTCCTAACTGTGCATATTGCAAATAAACACTTTGACCCTTAACCCTTTGACCCTTGACAAGAGCTGTCTGAAATTCGGAAACATGGCTTGTAATTGGTAGGCGGTTCCTGTTCAGCGCTGGGGGAGCTGACCAATCAGAGCAGACTGGGCTTTTAGGGAGGGGGGCCAGGAGCTAAAACAAAGTGTGTTCACATAGAGTTGAAAAAAGGGTCTGGTGCTACTGGTGATCTGAGGAAACTAATGAACTTTATGAATGTACAAGGTAGTAAACCTTTCCTAGTTAACCTTTAAATAACAATATAAACCTGAAAATAATTTGTGACCTTTAAAGGACACTGTGACAGAGTGTATGGTGGAAGGGTTAAGTGTCAATCGTCCCCATCAAGATTTTTGCTCTAGTTGAGCCATCAGGCATCACTGTGATCTCTAATGCTTTGGAAAATTCTGCCTCCAAAGTACTGATGTGAAGCTATTACTGGAGTTAACTACTAACATTAAGCTTTACTCAGCTATGATAGGAATGTTTTCTACTTATGTCAGGTCCGCTCGGTGCGACCTGCCTCTCTTCTGCCTTTTTCTTTCCTGCTCTTTCTTTTTTACGGGATCGGCACCCCAGCTGTGTCGCATGTTGTAATTAGTGACTTGTGGGTTGCCGCGCACAGCTGGGACGCATTAATGTAATCACTTTCTAACCTTATTTATACCTCTGGCAGATGCTTCGCTGTCACCAGAGCATTAATAGAACTTACACCAAAATACCTGTATTGATGGTATGTGTCATTTTGATTTCCGTGCTGACAGTTCCTGTGCTGTGGATTTCATTTTGTACGTTGGTTATATGTTGTTTTGTGTTATACATTTATAGAAGTCCACGCTGAGAGGTCCTGTGCTGTGGATTTCTTTTGTCGTTTGCCACTCTTATTTTTCACCTGTCCGTCCTCATCCTCCTACTCTCCTGGTTCCTGCCATTAGCCTGTCTACTCCCCTGGTCATCCTGGTCTCCTCAGCCATCTTTGCCCAGCCCTGGTTGTATGTATTCATTGAGTCAGTTCCTTTTTGTGATCCCCACCAATAAACCACCTGTTTTTTTACTAGCACCTGGCTCAGCACTCTTGAGTCCTACCTCAGTTTTCCCTCATCCTCCTGGTGAGGGGGACTAACCCTAACAACGTACAGGCTGTAGAAACATAGAAACTGCAGCATCACTGACTTCAAACACAGTAGCTGTGTAAGGTATTGGCTTTTGGCATTCACATTTTGGTCTTTTATTCACAGTATAATGATTGGATGTTTCAGACATGATGTGGGCATTGTGAGTAGCTTAGATTTTTTTTTTCATTATGGCAGTATTGTTACTAGGTAAAGGAGTATGATCTTTTAGCAGGTTATCAAAGCCTCTTTTTGATTCTGATTTTTTTTCTAATACCTTATCAAAGCCAAATAGGTTTACAAATATGTATCTAAAGAAATAAACTCAAAGATTCAATTTGACATTTTAGGGATAGCTAATTTATAGTTACAACTGAAAATGAGATGAACCATATAATATGACATGTGAACCAGTGTAATAAAAGTCTTTCTAACGTCTTTTTCACAAGCTACAGTACATACTCCACATACTGGTGCCACGATGTTTAGTTGAAAAGCTTGTTTGGTTAGCTGCAAGTTGCACTGAAGCAGATCCCTAGGCAGTTAGCTACAGTAGCTAATCCAGGGGGGCTGATTTGTGTTTACTTTTTTCAAAGTAAGAAACAAGCTTTGTGAGACCAGCAATGATTTATATAAACCTGAAGAAGCCACTTTCCCCAGTGTACCTGTTTTGCTAGTTATCCGAGTCTCTACAGGATGGGTGATGAGTGCAACAACAGCCATTATAGCCATTTATCAGCTAAAGCTAATATAATCTATCAGCTAGGATGTTTATTAGTCTTAACTGATGAAGCAACAGCCCGTGACAGGTGAATGAGGAATTTGCTGAGTTACCCTGAATGTTTTCAGCTATGATGAAAGGGACTTCAGAGACCCCAGAAGAGGCTGGGCAGAGATACGGTCTACCAGTGTTTCCACTGGTTGCTAGCAGAGGTTGATAAAGGTCATATATTATGTAATGCCCTTTAACCTCCAAAAAAATTCAAAATAGACCCAGCACCTGCTCTTCTCTGCATCCTCTGCACATTGTCGATCTCATAGACCTTGATCTCGTAGGCCTCTGAGATTCCTGGATCTACCCAGCGAGACTGCAGACTACTAGCTGAGCGTCTCAGGGAAAGGGGTGTATCATGAGAAGGACGACGCTGGTGAATACCTACAGCGGAGAGAGGCAGAAAGTGCAGTGAGATGCCATATCTCAACCTGTTTTCTGTCATCTCCCATTTTAGAAACTTTCAGCCCCACTGACACTGAGAAACTGTTCAGACAATTCAAAGTTATAAAAATATTTAATTGCATTTAAGAGTTCTGTTGTATTTCAGTTTAATTTTAATGTTGTTAATTTTGAGTTTAAGGATTGGCGTGATCAGCCGTCAGCATTGGCACAAAGAGAAGCCTCTGATTGCTGCCACTCAACTGAAAAATGGACTACAAATAGGGCTAAATTGCACACGGAAAAGCATGTGCACAGGTCACACTTCAGTTAAAATATAATAGCCTAATCATCATCAGTGTCATCAGTGTCATCATTATCATCACGTTGACTGCTATAGGCTATAGAGCACTACAGTGACTATATAAAAAGAGCTGGCAACCTGTTCCATAAGTCTCCCTTTCTCTGAGTTTTATTATATATACAGGCTATGCGCATTGGATAGTAAAGAATTTACAAAAAAAGAATTTTCCGCATTGCATTGCAAAACAGTGTTGGTGCCACCATCTGAGAGACTTGGTGGCACCAGTGCCACCAGTATGACTTGTTAGTCTGGAGCCCTGAATTATCTATCCCAGTTTGAAATGTCTACCAGTTGATATTCATATTGTATTGGAAGTAATGGAAACCATTAGTTTGTATTATGCATTAATCTGAAATGCACAAATCAAATAATCTTTATGCTAAAAAAGAAAAAAAAAAAACTATCCCCAAACCCTGACAACACCTGAGGAGCACTCAGCTCATGGATTAGGTTCTGATCCTTCCAGAAGAGAAAGTCATTATGTTCTGTTCATAAAAAGCCAGTTATTTCAGGTGTTTTACCTGTGCTGCCTTTCCTCCGAGAAGATCGGCTGCTGTGAGCCACACTCAGGAGAGAGCCGCTCCTGTCACTGCCTGAACCTCTGTTCGAGGCACCACTGCCTGTGGCTTCACTGTCCCTCACCATGCTGTCATAGCCACTGCTCACCATGCTGTTCCTGTTAGAAAAATACAGTGATGTCTTTCCCATTGCTGGTGGTAAATCGCCACTCAACACACTGGTGGTGTCACTGGCGTGCCCACTGTGGTGATCAGGTACGCGAGGAGCAGTCACTCGGCTGTATGGCGAGGGAAGAGTGTTAATTTGATCCATTCCTCCTGAAGTGGTGCTGGAAGCACTTTCCTTGAGGAGATCTGACACCCGGCCATTGAGAAACCCTTGAATTGCAGATTTTGTGGATGAGCTTGTGGAGCTCTGGCTTGGAGTCCGACTGATGGAGTGAAGAGACCGCGGCGGGGAAGAAGAGAGAAAGGAGGATGTCCGTTCAAAGCTAACAGTTTTGCTGTCTGGGGAAAGGCTGGCACTGCGGTTGACTGAGTGCCGCAGGCTTTTGTGGGACAGACTGAGGTTCTTGATGCTGGGGGCAGACAGTCGGCGGACTTTGGGGCTAGCCATTTTAAGTTTCCCAACAGCAGAGAGCTTATAATGGGTATGCCTAGCAGATTGAGTTAAAGAGTTTTCAGAAGGGAAGAAGTGATAACTCTTGTCAGACTGAGGATTCTTCCGGGGGGTCCTGCTAGCCCTTGGTAAAGTACAGTCTCCCTCATTATTTCCTTGATAACCTCCCTTACAGGCCCCCTCAACACTTCCTTTAGAGCTCCCCCTTGAACTCATAGAGGTGTTGCTACTGCCTCTATCTAGAGTTGGGAAGTCCTTTGGGGTTCTCCCAAGGGAATTTGTTCTACTAGCCAGCTGCTCCAATTTGGCATTGAAAAGCCTGCCACTGTCCTTCGTAGGTGACTTCAGCTTCCCATTCATATTATGTTTCATTCTTACACTTGAGGTCTCAAAAAAAGAACCAGCCCCCTTTCTAGGAGCAGTACTAGCATCCTGTTTGTACTCTGTTCCATATTTCCGAGGAGAGGAAACGTGAAGGCTGTGGTTCGCTGGAGAGTGCTGTCTGCCCTGCCTCCTCTCCAGTGTTACCCCTGGGCTACATGGGGTGGATGATGTCGCCCCCCTTGGGTCTCTCTGGTTGTCTGTCATGTGACCACCATTATAGCTCTCCTGGTGGCTGGCATTTTGCCAGCCTCTAGGCAAACTGCCTGTTTTAAACAAAGCAGAGGTGGTTTCTTGGCAACCAGGTGAAACATCAGTTCTCCTAGGGGCATTCCCAGTACCTGTACAGATCATTTCTCCCCCCACTGAGCCTGTTTTAGTGTTAGTGGAATAAACATGCTCCCTGTCTCTAGTGGGTCTCTTGTCTGTATTTCTTGGTCTCTTTTCACACATTTTGTTTTCTGCAGTTTTATCACTGAAAGCTGAATCTTCTAAGACCACTTTGTCATAGGAAGCTTGGCTAAAAGGTGAGTTGCATACCTTGTCAGCCTTTTTGACATGTGTCCCAGGGGCAAAAGCACCACTGCTTTTCCTATCTTCTGGACATCTGGTATTATTTCCTTTGAACTCAGACCCTGACTTGACTCTTGTACAAGTGTCAGGAAGAATTTCTTTTTCTTTAGCACCATCCAAATCACAATCCACATCTGAATTAATCAGCATGGGATTAATAAATGAAGGCAAGAACCTTTTTTCCTTTCTGAATTGACACTGGGTCTTTTCAGGGCTAGCTTCTGTGACTGCCGACTGAAGAACACAGTATTTGGCTGTATTAGGGGAACCAGTGGCTGCAGATTCATCGCTAACATTACTGATTATCCTGATTGGTTGGGAGCTGGCAGAGTCTTGAACATGTGGCTGTGACTGAGCTATGTCTCTGATACAAATAATATTTCCACCTGTCCTTCCTCTGCTCAATGCTCCACTGATGGTCACCTCCTCTACCATTGAGAAGACAAGTTCATCTTGACCTTTAAGGTCCAGTGGCTGTTGAACAGTCACAGTGATAGTAGCCTTCATGTCATTAATGTCCTCTGTGGGACGGTTAGTTAAGACATCCCTATGTATAACACTGGTAGCTAGGGAGTGTGAAGAGGAGCAGGAGGAGGAAGGCGATATTGGGGAGCTCTTGCCAACTGGTGAGGTTCTTTTGTCTGGTTTAAAAAAATCAGCAGCTTCAGAACTCTCCAGTATTACTGTAGGCTGAAGGGCAAGGGAGCTGGTGATGGCCATGCCCTGAACATCCATGTCAAAGTCCTGGGAAGAGAGTTTATCATTGGACTTAGGAGTCCCAGTGTTGGGAAGATCAGTGTGGCATTTCATGTTAAGACTATGAGTTTGATTCATCAGTTCTTCACTGGAACTGGTCGCACTGCACTCCTCACAGTCACACAAACCTGAATCCTCTCTCTGAAAACTGTCTCCAGGGAGGGCACCATCTGTTTGCTTCTCTCCAGCAGATGTCTGACTGAAGCCTAACCCCTGAATCAAGGTCTGTGGGGATTCAGATGGTTCATTGTCTTTATGTTTCACTCGGTCTTTCTGGGGTTGTGATTTGTTTGTGACATTGTTTACAAAAGGGCTTTTCCAGGAAGACTTGAGCATATCTATTGTCATTTCACTTCCATCAATGCAGCCCAAACGCTCTTGAAGTTCAGCAAATGTTTCGCATTTAAGACAGTCCCCCTGTGGTGGCTTTATGTCTGCTTTCAGCATTTCAAATTGCCCTTGAACATTTTCCTCATTCTTCTTCTCTACCTGCAGTTGAGGAATTTTCAGAAGTTCTTGAAGGACAGCAGTAAACTCTGGGTCATCCAAGTCAGCCTTGTTAGGGTGCAAAGAAGGTATGATGGGCACAAATTTGGGTTGTGCTAGCATTGGGGCTAGTTTGGACTGGACCAAGCCATCTGAGTCTAGTTGAATGACTGTATCACAGGACTGGTCGCTACTGGAACGCTCCTCTAGTTCACCGCGCAAACGTAAAGGACAGATGTCAGCATCTACCTCATCTGTGGAGTGGAATGCCCGCAGGGACAAAGACTGGGGCCCTCTCTTTTCTCTAGTTAGACTCCTCCCACAAGGAGAGCATGAACTGGACTGCTGTTGAATAAAGATGAAGTGTGGCATTAGTTCTACAACTGGACTACTCACTGTATCTAAAACATACATCAACAAATAACTCATTGGGGGTGCAATGGAAACAAGACAGTTTTAAAACAAAGGAAATTATAAGGCCATCAACACCATTAATGGACACGATATGTACATTACCTTTGTCCTCTTCTGTGTCCTGCGGATGCGAGAAGCCAGTTGGATGGTGGAAAAGGTCTCTTGAAGGTTTGCCGCTGAATCAGAAACTTCAGCAATCACTGTGGTGTGGCAATTTGTATGACCCAAGGACTCTCGAAGGAGCATATTCAACTTACTGCCCCTGTGCAGAGATAGTGCAAATGTACAATGTTTCAATTCCCAAGCATCCAAATCTGTCAATCTGGAGGTAGCAGTTATTGTAAGGCCTTGGTTTTTAGCCAGTATAAAATGAGGATATGTCGTAAAAATTAACTTTAGCTCACTGTCAAATGATTTATGGAGGTGACTTTAGACAAATATCTTTCAAAATATTTACACCAGTAATACTTTGGAGTAACACTCTTACTTGTTGGGAGTGGTTTTATGTCCACTTAGTAGAGACAAGACAAAAGGCCCCAGTTCAGAATGAGGCGGTTTATTTTTACTCCTACCCCTCATACCACTACACACGTCTATCATGGTCAACTTAGTGGGGCCACGTGACCCTAAGGATGGAGATCAGAGAGTAGAGGATAGTGTACATTTCTTTGAATTATTTCAAACATGCAAATAAAGCTCCATGAAATATAAGATATATTAAACCACATTACATCTTTGATTGAACTTTAAGCTAACTATGGAAAGTAAAAGCACAAACAGTAAGAAGTAATGACACAAAATTCAGTAGGGACAAGTTTTACAATATTTCATTAGAACCTTTGCCAATGGTGCTGCTTTCTGTACGAGGGGGCTGGACATGGAGAGTGAAGAACATTATGGAGCTGTGGGCTAGATACGTAACAAAATCGCTGTGTCGACGGGCTGCAATGGCCGCATCCAGGAGGGAAGCAGCACGCTCAGCAGTGGGGGCTTTCACCCGGTTGTGGTTACGTACCTGGAATGGAGGAAGAAGCATAAAATCTTATAGAAAAAATTTCTTAAAGAACACAAATGATTTGTCAGTCTGTCATGTGTTCCTCTACTGTTTATCACTGTGGATGTTTTGATGCTGGTGTATTAACATAAATTTAGAGAATGCTTAGCCTTGGTAGAGGTTTGCATTTTATAAATATTTTCTTTTGTTATCTGATATATAATTCATCCCAGTAATATAATGTTTTGGCATGACAGCATAACAAATTTATACAGTAGGTTTCATGTTCACTAAAGAAATACAAATGAATGCATGCCTACACTAATGATGTACTACCTTGCAAATGGCAAAACACAGTGTGAGGGAATAGAAAGCTGCCCAATAATAAATTAATCTGATGTAATATTTTATGCAGTCCAGTAGGTTTCACTCACTACCAGCATTATCTTCTCACACACAGTATAGACATTCTACAAGCTGACTTTAAATGACAATTAACATTAATTATACCATATCTGCAGTGCAAATCCTAAAACCCAAATTAGAGAGATCCCAAACATGGAATCTAACTAACTATCTAACTATCTGTGATATTGCTGACACCAAATGAAAATGAACAGGCAATTTGCTTTTATGGGCAGTGGAAATACTCAGGGAGTTCTGGAGTTATTTTAGGAATACAGGATCATTTTCTGATTCATAGCTATAAAAACAACTGTAGAATTATTTTTGTGTTAATTCTCAAATTGAGTCTTGAGTTACCAGTGAAGTATAGCCAAGACATTGCCACTTGTCAGCAACAAAAAATATAGCCTTGGCTCTCTGGTTTCCAGATTTAGAACAGTCTTCTTTATGTTTGCAGAGATTGATTGGCCTGTACATAATCCAACAATAATCACATTCTTTGTTTTTGGGGCTGATTATGTTCTTCAAAAGAATACACCACCAATTTGGGTTAATGAACCCTTGTGTGCTTGCACTTAGAGCAACAGCCAGACTGAGAGAGACACAGAAGGAGCAGTTTAACAGCTTCCTTTCTCAAAATAAAAACAATTCTTCATCCTACTTGTATTCCATAGACAGGGTCTTCTTGGAGTCTAATATGGGCTTTTGGGCTGTCCTGGATACTGCTTGCTGAAGGGACGACCTCCCCCAGCAGGTCCCTCAGTGTGTCCTCCTCTCCACAGCAGAGCTCTATAGCAGACACTGATACAGTCAGATCAGTCCAGGTCTTCTCCCTCCGTCGCTCAATGGCACTGTACAGCCAGGAGATGGCACAGGGAATCAGCCCGAGCTTTTGGATGCTCTCATCACTCCCCACCATGCTGGACCAGGAGCCTAAGGCAGACAACAGAGCAGATAGATGTATTCATGCTACATACTGTATATATTGTACACACAAATAAAGTATTTATGCATGAACACAGTAAGTGAATTACACATACACCCCATGAACACATATGTACACCACATATATTGTGTGAGAACCACAATTTTATATGGTTTATTTAGAGCATGTCTACAGTTACTGTATGTAATGCTGTTAGCACAAATATAAAAACGTACTAGTTTGAACAACTGTAATAAGTGTAAACTTAATGACTCCTTAATGATTTATCTTACCAATGAAAACAGGGAACAGCTGGTCCTGAGGTAATAAAATCTGCCTACCAGAACCTGTAAAGCTCACAGATTATCATGTTAGGATAATGATAATCACCTTCATTGGCCAAGTATGTTACACACACAAGGAATTTGTTTCCGGTACAGAACTGAGGCAGCCATCTGCGGCGCCAACTCTACTGATGGCTCTAACCACCAGGGGGGTTCAGTGTCTTGCCCAAGGACACTTCAACACATGGACTGCAGGCACCGAGATTTGAACGTTCAACCTTCCGGTTAGGAGACAACTGCTCTACCCACTGCACCACTGTCGCCTCCCCACATGTTGTTTGTTTGATCCATACAAAACAAGGATGCAAGATGGCACTGAGTATAAGTCCTATAGACAACAGCAATACTGTATATGGTGCATCTGCAAATATCTGATGTTAGAGCCTGGCCCTGTATTCTTGCAAACACAACTGCATTTGGTCACAGGTAACAAGCTAGTGAGGGTTCTTGTACTTGTCTGCATAGTGAGGTTAGAGCCTCTGGGAGGTAGTGTGTCCTTGCATTACACCCCTCTTTTAAAACGTTTCCATGGCAGGAAAGAACGAAGCAACTGGCGATGCCATATGTCATTAAAGCCACACACATTTGTTTCCCCAGGTCTGAAGTTATTATTTGTTTATTAATTTGTTCATTTATTCATTTGTTTTTTTAAATAGGTAAAGCCTCATTGAGATTAAAATCTCTTTTTTCAAGAGTGACCTGGCCAAGAGGGCAGCAAAGGCACTGCTACAACAGTAAACACAAATAATACAAATACAAGTAATAAAAGTCAAGGTCAATACACTTAAGATGCAAAACAAGTGCAACTTTAAAATGATTTCAGTCCAAATTTGACCCGGAGTACTCTTTTCTCAGTCCTTTAAAACTGACTTACAGTTAAATGGCCCATAGAAATCAACTCTGATCATTTCAGGTCCTGCTATACATTATTACAGAAGAAGGGGCGGCATATTTAGAAGCTTTTCCATTCTAACTCTGGAGAACAGTATTTGTAAAATACTTTTAGAGCATATAGGCCACATTGATTTTGAATGAGCATAGAGGGGACCAGCCCAAGGAGAGATTTATATATAAAAACCAACTACTGATAAAGTCTGCTGTACAGAATACAGTGGTGTACGAGATTTCCACAGACAGTAATGAAACATATTAGCATTATGAAGCATAATGTTATACAGTATCCAGCTTCTTTAGGTATTTGCCTAGTGTATTCATAAAAAGCAGAAAGCACCCACAAAACATAACACATAAACTCAGAATAATGCACAAATGAAGAAAGCGGATTTACAGAGATGCACTAACAAACATTCAGTTGTTCATATGGACTGGTGCCATCGCTTATTACACTTTTGCCCCACATTAGTTTTGAGTTATAGGCCTGTTTAACCCTTATCCAAACTTTAATTGAATGAGTATAGGAGAATTGGTTTCCTTCAATTAAAGGCAGAGTTGCCTGCTGTTATTCAGAGAGAACAATATTCTGTGGAGGAGATTGATGTCCCCTGGCTGTGGGCCACATGTAGTCTATATTGACCAACTAATTCAATCACATTTACGGAGGGTGGCGTCATGTGAAAAAGCAGCTCCAAGGAGATGCTGTCCTTACCCTGTGTGTGTATGTGCCACAAATCTATTAAAGCCCTTCACCAATGATAAGTGCAGGGTTCCATTTCTCTAATGGCAACATATTACAGTCCATTTTGTTTACAGTTCCCTCTGAGTTCAGTGTTTCAGCAAAACAAAATTAAATATTTGTGTTAGACAATGTAAGCTTTTAGGAAGCATGTATGTTGTTTAATTGATGAAAATGTTACAGGTGAAAGATGAATGACTAAAAAGGAACCGGCTGAAGTGGCAGCACTTCTGTCACTACCGTGGACAAGAGGATAGGAAACGGGACAAACGAGCAAGAGAGAAAGCAAAAGAGCATGAAGGCTGGAGATGGTGAATCAAGACTGATAAAAGGACAGATAGAGAAAATGGAGACAGGCAGTTTAAGTGATAAAGAACAAGCAACTGATAGCAGGAGCAGGACAGAAGTGGAGGAGGAGTGGGGGGTGGCCCTTAAGCATGGATAAAAGCTTCCCACTCTCATCTCAAGATTTTAACCTGTGGCCTCTCAGAGTGGCCGATTACTCACCCACATCAGCACATCCCAAACCCAGAACGCATCCATTGCTGCCACTGAGCACACAGCGGATGACATCAGGCAGGACGCCTGCACACACCTCGGCCTGACCGGAGAGAACAAAGGACAACAAGCATCTCATGATTCATCACTGAAAAAGCACATCCAATGAAACAAAGGACCTGCAGCAGATGAGGGATGCATACTGATTCTATAAATTCCCTTGGGCTCAGATACTGTAAGCAGAGCTAAGAGAAAGCTGAATATAATTGATGGACTGCGTAATTGTGGTAGCTGTCTGGGCCCTATCAGATTTCAAGTCATCACAGAGAGAGCAAACCGGCTGTGGTGTGTACCAGACAAAGAGTTAAAAATGCATGTGGAATACAGAATTCTTTAGACTCACGTTACGCAAACAAGTCTGTGTAAAATAATGTAACACAAATCAATCGAGATACAGTGGCTTCATAAAGTGTTCAGACCCTTCAATTTTTGTACACTTCACTTTTTAAAATAAAATTGCATTTTTCCCCCCAAGTCTATACACAGTAAGTCATAATGACAAAGCAAAATGCAACTTTGTCATTATGGTTTATTGTGAGTAGTTGTTGAACAAAGATTAGCAATTTTATCTACAGTATTTAAAATGCAGTCGACAACACAATACACTGAAAAAAAGTAGTGGGAAACTTGGTGAAGCCACCACAGATTAGTATGAAGCAAACAAAATAAAACCATTTGAAACTATATTTAAATAGAGTTGGGTGAACCAAACCTGGCTTGACTCTTGATGATAGGTTGCATCAAAGTTGAAGGTCTTCAGAAGATTTCTGCCATCTCTGCCTGCTGTCGCTGTAGCGTGTGGTTGGCTTTTGCTAACTGGTTCCATAATGGCGACTCTCTTCTTGGATGGGTCAATGAGGAGAACAGGTGGGTGGCTTTGGCCCCCTGACAGTGTTGGACTCACCCTCAGCATGACTTTGACCTGGGCACCAATAGAAATGGGAAAGAATACCATGATGAAATTTACACACAGTCATGTTTTATGTATGTTTGTGCTTTAAACCTATATACAAAATGTTGTTTTACAGCTACACTAGCTATGGCTCTGTGGCAGTGCTGGTCTGTCTGTCAGTTGGTCCACCACTTTGATGCAGTATGAAATATTTCAAACTTCATGTGAGCAGCCAAAATGCAACTACATTTCAAAAGTAAGTACCAGCAGCAAACAGAAACAGAAAAGAGAATGAGTACAAATATATCTTCATACCAAATTCATTGAGTTTTAGCCATTGATACTTCTGGCGCCGACAGCGATGGCAGCCGTGGTTACTCGCGCTCTCTTGTGTTTGTTGTTTTTCTTTGTTTTCTTGGTCTTTTGCAACCCATCCCAGATTACTTTTACCAGAGAAGAACTGTTAAATATCGGACAACTCACACCAAACTACCTTCCTTCAATTTTTGTGAACGAAGATGAAGAATCTGATCGGAGGCGCAGCGGCAATATATATGGGACCTGGAAAAAAATGCCTGTGTGGCAAGCGTACGGGCAGCTTGGTGAGGCTACGCCAGAGGGGGACCCGGACTCCATTCCTGTCTATCCACCTGGCAAATCTCTGCTCCCTGGTCAACAAGATGGATGAAATTCTTCTGGTCAACAGGACTAACTCTGACTTTGCACACTCTGCTGCTTTGTGACAGCGCAATTCGAATACCGGGCTTCCAGGTGTTCAGAGCGGAGTGTAAAGGAGCTGTTGGGGAAAACGAGAGGAGATGTCACAGTGCTACAGAGGACATGTATCACAGACCTAGAGACTCTTGTTATCAATTGCAAACCCTTTTACTCTCCCCGTGAATTTAACAGTTTCATGCTAAAGGGAGTGTACATAAAACCACGGGCCCACACTAGCGCACTACAGTTCCTGGCAGAACTGATAACTAGCCTGGAGCTAGAACATCCCGACTCTCCACTCATTGTTCTAGGAGACTTTAACAGAGCAAATCTCACCCTTGAACTGCCCAAATACAGGCAGCACATTACCTGTCCCACCAGGGACAAAGTCACACTGGACCACTGCTACACAACAATAAAAGACGCTTATCACTCTGTCCCCCGCGCAGCCCTTGGACTCTGATCACTGTATGGTCCATCTTATTCCAAGTGTTAGGTATTTTTAGTCAGATAGATATTGGTTAGATACTTGATGTATTAGAAATGTTTAGAGTAGACAGGATGTCTAGCTCAGGCTGTTAAATGTTTAGTCATTCTCATGAGTTGCTGCAGGTTGCTTATGGTCAAGGATAACTAGATAGAAAGTTGATGACTGTTAGAAGACAGGATGTTTAATATTATTATTATGACGTGTATAACTGTAGCCATAGCCATAATATTTTCTTATGTTGTCATGACATGTCACTAGAGGTCGTGTTAGAATGTTTT